GATGAATTTAAATGGAATTTGTAAATAAATGCATTAGAGCAGCGATTCCCAAAGTGAAGGTACTGCAGGTCGGCCGCGAGAGGTCATTTACAATAAATAAATAAAAAGTTTTAAATTTTAAATTTTGAAAAGTTTGAAATTGATATAAAAATATGTATGATGCGGCACATTAGTTATGTTAAACATTAATTGATGAAGCACAAACAATTTAAACGAACAGATTGGTTAATCGGTTGATCCATACTGGTTGTACACGGCGCTCAAGGTGCTCTGCCAAACATGCCAAAGCTCGTCTACGACGGCGAGATGCTGAGCGGCGCTCAAGCGCGTGAGATATGGAGCTTGTTTCAGGGCGCGTCGGAGAAACAAAGCTGTCTTTCTTGACGAGCACATAATGAGATTAAAGAGCGAGAGACGACGCCCTTTTCTCTACAGTAGCTGAACCATCTTAACGGGGAAAATAAGTTATTCTAAAAGGAGCCCTTGGCAGGCGGCGAAGCTGGAGAGCAGCCGGAGATTTAAGTCGTAGATGGCGAGGGGGGCGGCGGGAGCGGACGCACCTCGCAGCATCGATCGGACCCTAAAAGCACCGTCTCCACCGGATCGCTTTAATTCTTAAGGTAATTTAATCATCCCGAGTTTATGTTTTGATCAGAGTTGTGATTAAAGGTTTGCGTGGCCTGCAAAAAATTTTCAGATGTCAAAGTGGACCGCAGCATTCTTGAGTTTGGGAACCGCTGTCTTATAGTAAAAGTAGTTAATGGTATTACACAGCAAATAGTAGTTAATGACGTTACACAGCAAATAGTAGTTAATGGTATTACACAGCAAATAGTAGTTAATGACGTTACACAGCAAATAGTAGTTAATGGTATTACACAGCAAATAGTAGCTAATGACGTTACACAGCGAATAGTAGTTAATGATTTTACACAGCAAATAGTAGCTAATGACGTTACACAGTGAATAGTAGTTAATGATGTTACACAGTGAATAGTAGTTAATGATTTTACACAGCAAATAGTAGCTAATGACGTTACACAGTGAATAGTAGTTAATGATGTTACACAGTGAATAGTAGTTAATGGTATTACACAGCAAATAGTAGTTAATGACGTTACACAGCAAATAGTAGTTAATGGTATTACACAGCAAATAGTAGCTAATGACGTAACACAGTGAATAGTAGTTAATGATGTTACACAGTGAATAGTAGTTAATGATGTTACACAGTGAATAGTAGTTAATGACGTTACACAGCAAATAGTAGTTAATGACGTTACACAGCAAACAGTAGTTAATGACGTTACACAGCGAATAGTAGTTAATGACGTTACACAGCAAATAGTAGTTAATGACGTTACACAGCGAATAGTAGTTAATGACGTTACACAGTGAATAGTAGTTAATGATGTTACACAGTGAATAGTAGTTAATGACGTTACACAGCGAATAGTAGTTAATGACGTTACACAGCGAATAGTAGTTAATGATGTTACACAGTGAATAGTAGTTAATGACATTACACAGTGAATAGTAGTTAATGATGTTACACAGTAAATAGTAGTTAATGACGTTACACAGCGAATAGTAGTTAATGACGTTACACAGCGAATAGTATTTAATGATGTTACACAGCAAATAGTAGTTAATGACGTTACACAGCGAATAGTAGTTAATGACGTTACACAGCGAATAGTGGTTAATGACGTTACACAGCGAATAGTAGTTAATGACGTTACACAGTGAATAGTAGTTAATGACGTTACACAGTGAATAGTAGTTAATGACGTTACACAGTGAATAGTAGTTAATGACGTTACACAGTGAATAGTAGTTAATGATGTTACACAGCTAATAGCAGTTGATGACGTTACACAGCGAATAGTAGTTAATGACGTTACACAGTGAATAGTAGTTAATGACGTTACACAGTGAATAGTAGTTAATGACGTTACACAGTGAATAGTAGTTAATGATGTTACACAGTGAATAGTAGTTAATGACGTTACACAGCGAATAGTAGTTAATGACGTTACACAGTGAATAGTAGTTAATGACGTTACACAGTGAATAGTAGTTAATGATGTTACACAGTGAATAGTAGTTAATGATGTTACACAGTGAATAGTAGTTAATGACGTTACACAGCGAATAGTAGTTAATGATGTTACACAGCGAATAGTAGTTAATGACGTTACACAGTGAATAGTAGTTAATGATATTACACAGTGAATAGTAGTTAATGACGTTACACAGTGAATAGTAGTTAATGATGTTACACAGTGAATAGTAGTTAATGATGTTACACAGTGAATAGTAGTTAATGACGTTACACAGTGAATAGTAGTTAATGATGTTACACAGTGAATAGTAGTTAATGACGTTACACAGTGAATAGTAGTTAATGATATTACACAGTGAATAGTAGTTAATGACGTTACACAGCCAATAGTAGTTAATGATGTTACACAGTGAATAGTAGTTAATGACGTTACACAGTGAATAGTAGTTAATGACGTTACACAGTGAATAGTAGTTAATGATGTTACACAGTGAATAGTAGTTAATGACGTTACACAGTGAATAGTAGTTAATGATGTTACACAGCGAATAGTAGTTAATGACGTTACACAGCGAATAGTAGTTAATGATGTTACACAGCGAATAGTAGTTAATGACGTTACACAGCGAATAGTAGTTAATGACGTTACACAGCGAATAGTAGTTAATGACGTTACACAGCGAATAGTAGTTAATGACGTTACACAGCGAATAGTAGTTAATGATGTTACACAGCGATAGTAGAGTAGTTAATGACATTACACAGCGAATAGATGTTACACAACCGCCCCCCGGATCCAAGCCCACGACCCTGGTACCGGCCCCACGACTCCTGACTCCAACGCCTCCAGTCCCCGCTCCCCGACTAAGGCCCCCTCCCCCTCCATCCCGGGGTCTTCTCCCACCCTCCCCTTGGTAATCTGAGGGCCGTCTGGGATCCGGCCCTTGCGAATAGTAGTTAATGAGGTTACACAGCGAAAAGTAGTTAATGATGTTACACAGCGAATAGTAGTTAATGACGTTACACAGCAAATAGTAGTTAATGATGTTACACAGCGAACAGTAGTTAATGACGTTACACGGCGAATAGTAGTTAATGACGTTACACAGCGAATAGTAGTTAATGATGTTACACAGTGAATAGTAGTTAATGACGTTACACAGTAAATAGTAGTTAATGACGTTACACAGCGAATAGTAGTTAATGATGTTACACAGCGAATAGTAGTTAATGACGTTACACAGTGAATAGTAGTTAATGATGTTACACAGTGAATAGTAGTTAATGACGTTACACAGCGAATAGTAGTTAATGACGTTACACAGCGAATAGTAGTTAATGATGTTACACAGCGAATAGTAGTTAATGATGTTACCCAGCGGATAGTAGTTAATGACGTTACACAGTGAATAGTAGTTATGACGGTACACCGTGAATAGTAGTTAATGATGTTACACAGCAAATAGTAGTAAATGAGTTACCCGCGGAAAAAAATTAATGACGTTACACAGCGAATAGTAGTTAATGACTGTCACCGCCAAAGGAGTTAATTAGCTTACGCACCCAATCAGATGTATGAGTTACCTCGCCAAGAGGTTTAAGACGTTACCCCCGCGAAAAAGGATTAAGTCATTTCCCCGGGAATAATAGTGTAATGGCTGTGCACGTGAAAAAGAGGTAATGGTGTTACCCCGGTAAAGTGCCTTTTTGGGTTCCCCTCGAAAAGAGGGTAAGGGGCGAACCCGTGAGAAGGTGTTAAGGGTTTGTTTTGTGTTTTTGTTCTCTTTTTGGTTGTTTTGGGGGGGTAGGGGGGGGGGAATGGGCGTTTTCCTCGGGGGCGACAAGGGGCGTTGG